AAAAAAAAAAAAAAAAAAAAAGTCGTTTTGCAATTTAGATAGGTATGTAGGGATAGAGAAGAGTTGCATTGGCGTAGATTAATTTGCTATATACTATATAGTTTCCCAATGGGAAGTGCTGACAACAATGTTGATCATAAACATTGTTCACTATCCGGGACTGACCGCTTGTTGGTTGTAAACGTGTTGAAAACAAGCTCTCTGAGTGAGTGGATAAATTGGTATAAAGGCAATAAATCATTTGACATTAAGACCCCATTCCCATTAAGCCACCATCTACGTGGTCTACGTGAATCGACGCAACTCCGAGGGGACTCTCACTAAGTGCAATCAGCTTAATTGAATGACACACCTCCTTTTGTTTCCAAAGTGCTCGTATGTATTCTACTTGAAGTCCCTAGGTGGCGTATAAATCTGTTAAGCTGATTGCACTCAGCGATAAGACCCGCAGGGTTGGGTCGACCCTACCCTCTACCAGGGCGACAGATTGATTTTTCACATATATTACCAAAGATGCTTCTAGATAAATAGACAGTCATCGCTTCAGCAAAAAAATGTCCACAATAATAACCGAGGCCCAGTAAGAGGGTAGGTCGATCCATGGTGTTTGTGGTAATGCACCCCTATTTGCTTAATCTATTACGTTCGCGTGTGCTTTCCCTTAATGCTTTTAAAGTCCCTCACCTGGGTTTAACTGCTGCATTACTCGGATAACCATTAGGATACCATGCACCGAACTGATTTGGGAATACGTCCATTACAGCTGTACTATATACACTGTATTAACGACATGCGCTACACTGCCCTACTTACACTAAGATATATGTAACTGCATTGCATATTTTTATATTATAAATGTATATATATTCGTATAAATTCCAGGTGGTGACTGGTGGTTTAAAATGTGCACCTCAGTCCACCTAACTGAATATTAAATAATTACCCTGATTGCAATAACACTAACGCTGGTGACATTTAAGATATAAAAACTAAAGTGAAATCCAGAGACATCACAGGAAATCACTGTGACAATGCTGTAAACCGCCATGAAGATGAAGATCGGGTGTAATAAATAATTATGTGAAGGTCATGGGGATGGCAATAAAGATGTGCATAATGAATTATTTTGGAATTATTATTTCAGATACACTATTAAAAAGAAAAGGACATAAAGTAGTCTAAAGAGCACAATAAAAACAAAAGTCAATGAATAATATACTATGTACTGTACACTAATATTATAGAAATGAAGACTGCAAAAATAGGTATCCAGTCGGTGCGATACGCTCTGGACGCGAGAAAAGACGTACGCAGTGCACATCTTAGTGCTCATTCACATTGACGCTCTTGGTCTACGTAAATCGACCCAACTCCGTGTAGACTCTAGCTAACTGTACGACTGTCGCACATGCCTAGTTTTGTTTCCAGCGTGCTGGTATAATCAGCAGCTTTCCTGTATTTTGCTTAATGCCAGGAGGAGGTGTGTAAATCTGTTAAGCGGACTGCACTCATCGAGAGTCACCACATAGTTAAATCGATCTACGTAGACCGATTGTGTCTGTGCGATGGGCATACTTCAAAGTACGCTAAAAGGGACTGCAGTAGACTGCAGAGCATTTTTGCTAAGTTGCCAACATTAAAATATGCAAGAGGTAATCCATTGTGCGAGTATTTTATGCTGTACCATCAATCGAAAAACCTCAGAAAAACTAGAGAAAAATCCAAGAACTTAGATATTCCGCAATGAAAAATGTAAATCGTTGAAGGGGATGACAGATATTCAGTTGAGTTTTTTCATTAGTGTTTTATTCCTCCCGAGCAACTGAATACTTCAGCAAAATCTGTGAAAATTTATTTGAGATATATTGTCCATTTGTAAACTCACAAAACAACGCCGATGACAACAAAACCTTCATTTTGATAAAAATGAGTAGGCTACAGTATTTCATGCTAGGTGGGAGTACTCCTTGAGTATTCCTCTCCTTCGTCGTCCTCCCCTTCTGCCTCAACGGAGTCGACACCAACCTCTTCGTAATCCTTCTCTAGTGCAGCCAAATCCTCATGAGCCTCAGAAAATTCACCTCCCAACAAACCCTCACCGACATACGAAGAGGACGAAAGCACGCTTGACGTACATCATGCCAAACTTGTGGTCAAGACTAAATCTTAAATCGAGACTTCCGAACGGAAGATGGTCAACTGACTTTATTATGTAATCGAGGTGAACATTTCAGTGAGAGGTGTTCAGAAAGGACCAAGGTCAGAAGAAAATGGAGGGAAAAGGAGCCCCATATGCCACGCTGCTACATTTTCCACATATTGAACGCTATTTTGGCACCGAAAACTCAAGCAATCTATTGTAAGTACTGTTTTGATTATCTACATAACTTAAACTTAGATAACTATTGTATTTTGCGCTGACGAAACTTCCCCAAAATGGTGTATTTCCAACTTCAGGCATAATGGCCATTGGTGTGAATGCTTTGAAGTCGAAAATGAGCTTGAAGCTTCAATAAGTTATTTTCTGTTATTTATCCACAGGTGCCGAATTTGCCAATGAAGAAGCGAAGAGTTTAATCCAGCAGTCCAAAGGAACCGAATGCGTGAGTTAGACTTTAACACGACGACTGTATAGGTTACTACATCTATACCCCCTTAATGGCACTATTTTCATTCTAGACGATAGCGATGTTTTCCCAAGTGTAAAATATATCCTGTTTATTACAGTAAATTGACAACAAACAAATGTTTCTCTGTAGAACTAGCCTTGATATATTCCTTCTTTATCTTCAGTGTTCATGAATACTTTTACGTTCCATCCCTGTAATGTTCTAATCTGTATTAAAATGTTTGCGTAAAGAATTTGATTAAAAAAGATGACCTAAATTCACTAGCGCTCGGAATACGGAATCATTTATGTAAGTGCATAGAAATATGAAGATCAACTTTTATCATGCTACCTACAAGGGCTGTATATTATTCAGAAAAGTCCTATCATTTCACTATATATCTGTGAGTACCCAATGAAAAACCAATCTGTGGCCGTGGTAGTAGGTAGTAACCATCCACTCTTTTCATGTACCTGGGGGTGGGGAATGGGGGAGGGGGGGTCACAGCGAGCGAGTAGCCCTTTCTTAGCTTCGGTCGTAAATCTTCTCATTCAGGAATTATCAGCATTACTAACGAAACGAGGCAAGGCTAATTTCTTCGTCCCCGCAAACAAATTTCAGTTGAATTATCCTAGACAGCCGACTAGACCCTTCTTTCAAATATTTATCGAAATTTACTTCCGTCACTCAAAAGTTTTCATTTATTAGATTTTACCGTAAACATTTGCGTAATCCGAGCACTGGTAACTTTTTGTAACTCTACTAGTATACAGGGCACTGCTATAGAACGACACGTTTCAATTCTATTGTAAAATGGTATGTGTTGGCATATTTGTAATCATCACTATATTCCTCACGAAGGAATACGCCTTAGACTAATAAATCAACCTAAGACTACTATATTGTCGCGTATAAAATAACTTAAATGGATTTTGTAACGATTATATGTTTACTACTATATCAAAGCCTTAGGCTCTGTTCTCACAACTTTTAGATCGATCTATCACCGCGGGGAGTCTCACTAGATTACTGTCAGATAATCCGCCTTAAGTGTCCGTCCCCGCCTACTACAATCTGTAAGGGGTAATTAACTTTCGTGTCCGCCCGGCTGACAGCTATTTAGCGTGAACCCCCAGGGAGTTAGGTCGATCCAATGTAGGTCGATCTAATCTATGAGAATGGGGTGTTATATATGTATACCCACCGTCCCGTTAACCTGTATTTCTTCTTTTATTTTCAGTGACTCCTAACTAACGCTTACTGGATGCGTTGATGCGTCTTCCATTAAAGACATCAGATTTGAGTGGCCTGCGCCTGAATCCACGTCAAGATTGTCTCACTTGTTAAAGTTTGGCGTCTGGTGAATTTGCAGGGTTGACGTTTGTCATGAAATGTGATATTTGCTTTGGATCGCAATATTTTGTACCAATACATGTATCAGCTGAAGAATCGCACGTTAGGTCCCCTTTGCACTGGACGGAGCCCTTTCTGCGTCCGATAGTACGGCCCCATTTGAGAGTTAAAACATAATTTAATACAACTGGGCGATCATTGAGCATTCATTTTTAACCAAAGCGATGCTTGTGCCTCCTTTCAACGACCAGATTCTTGGTCGCACAAAGGACGCCGTCCAGTGTAAAGGGGGTTTGAGGAGTGTTTTATATTGTTCAAAAATACCTTTGATAAAAATTGGACTTAGGCCAAGCGTCACCCCTTCATGTTGCTGGTTGAATACAATATGTACGCTTCTTTAAGTCTTAGTACAGTGCTCTCTCTACCCGTGATGGTTTTCGTTGTAATTTAATTGTTAGAAAAATTATTTTGTTTCGTCGGTTCTCCAACTTAAAACGACATCTTTGGAATACCCCATAAACGGAATCGATGTCGTTGAATAAGTACCCTTTTTAAGGCATGTATGGAAACAAAATGATGAAGCGATCTAAAATTCTCATTTTTGAATATGTTATTTCAGTCGCCAGTGCATTCAAGAGACGAAGATATGTCCCCATGGAGAAGTTACAACAGTTGAAATGCACCTTTGGATTTCAATAATCCTGAGTATGGACATTTGAAAAAAAAAGCCTGTAATCCAACAGTCGAAATTGATACGATTCTTAACATTTTGGTGTTATTAGGGGTTAAATTGCAAAATGTGTACATGCATATTGAATATGTACATGTATGAATAATAGTGACCGTTTGCCTCAGATTTCAGCCTTGAATGGTACTAGGGTAAGTAGGCATTACCTAGCATGTAAGGCCAAAAAACAGAGGCAAATGACTACACGGCCCCTATATTTGTAACATATTGTCCCACCAAAACGTAAAAAGCATTTCACCATTTTTGTTTAAATTTGGGTCTTCGGCGACTGCTTACGTGAGATAGCGTGCTAGATTTCAAAAATGGTTTGGTTATCTGAAAATCTGTATGCTAAAATTCTCTTTTCGCTTCCCATTCCATCGACACTTTTTGAAATAATAGATCTAATTGTCTTACTGCCAGTTGTCGTTTCCAATTTAAAATAAGTATGGCATAATATTAGAAAATGGTTTCTAAAAGCGAGACAGTACACAAACTGTGCACGACAGGGAGCAAATGTGTGAATAATTTTGTAGTCGACCCTTGCTTACTTTTATTCGATTACGAAAGGAACTGGTATTAATTATTTTTCTACTTTTTGACTGAGAATCCTAACTGAAAGATACCATTTTGCCAGCGTCATTTTGTACCAATATATCAAACTGAGCGAGTCTGTTGTACTTTTTTCAATGATATTTTCTATGTACAATTTATGTCAGTCTAGTTTGTGCTCTTTAAAGTTTATGGCAACAGTTTCCCTTTTTAGATTCTGAATCAACATATGTTACCAATATTTGACTTATTCAACGTTTATGATACATGTATTTCGCAATCCTTTAAAACTTCGAACTATGGGTTGCGATTATTATTATTATTATTATTATTATTATTATTATTATTATTATAGAATGATTTGCAGTTTCGATGAGCGCAGACATCACTTTCAATTGTATTACACAGGGAATTGTAACTCTAATGATTACTCCGAATAAACTCAGATGTTTGGCTTGTTGTACTTTGTAGTAACACATTCAGTGCCATTTCCTTGATATTGCGTATTCTAAGCCATGCGTTAGTATCACTGAAGTTATACGAATAAAAACTGTTCATAACTTTCAACTTCTTTATTGTTTGATTATTCAGATTTCATATTTTTCTCTCTAGTGTTTGTCTTAGTAAAATTTGAATAAAAAAAAAAAACTTTCATTCTATCTTGTCCATTTCGATCTCCTATTCTTCCTTCTATAACTTTAGAACCGGTGGTGCTGCCAACTGAGCCATTGGACCCAAAGAATTTCGCGCAATTTAAACGAAACCTTTATAGTAAATGAACTCCAATTCTTTTTTTCTACAAAATGAATGCTCCATGGGACTCGATCTCCTCATCTTCTGGTCAGTAGTCTGCAACGTTACCAGTTGCTCTATTCACCCAACCACCCACCCTAAACTTTGCATCTTCCCTTTATAGTTATGGGACGAATACTCATTTTTTTTTCACAAAAAAAGGTCTTCTTTAGGAATCGATCCTGTAACCTTCTGGTCTCCAGTCTGCAACGTTACCAGTTGCTCTATTCACCCAACCACCCACCCTAAACTTTGCATCTTCCCTTTATAGTTTTGGGACTCTCTTTTATAGTTTGAGGCGATCAATTGTTTTTTCTTCCACGAAAATTTACCGTCTTTGGGAATCGATCCTTTAAAGGGATAATAACTCTTCGTATGATATCTAAATTTAACAATAAAAACATTGTGAAAGCAAAATAATTTACATCATATATTCATTTATTTCAAAAGCATTTACATGTTGAAGTGCATTGTCTTTAAATTTAAAATTAAATTTAGGAATATGTTCAATATTACAAGGGTTGGCTATATAGATCAAAATAATTGATTTCTGCATTATTAGAACGTGTACAAGACAAATTTTTGCTTATTCGATTTGATTAATAAATTATCAACTAAACTACTCGTCTTATGGTTGATCTTATTGATACTAAACAAAGTATTTCAATATCTACAATTTTGAAAAAAAAAAAAAAAAAAAAAAAAAAAAAAAAAAAAAAAAAAACAATGGCGGATCGAGTGCTCATTTTCCATTCAGAAACCCATTTCCTGCTCACATTATCAAGTCCCAAAATTCAAATTGCTCCAAATTTCATCATTAAGCCCCCTTAAATATTCTAGATCCGCCAATGTTTTATTTGTCTTTTCGTGAAAAAGGAATTATGAAAAGTATTTGTGTGGTACGAGTCGTTGAAAGAAACAGACACATTTTTGTTGTTTGCCAAAATTTGTCATAATGCATTTGTAAAAATTTAATAGTTTGAGACATTTATACAACTGACGTAATGAAATAAAACATAAGAGTAGAGAATATGAATATTCAAAAATCTCCTTACAATCTATCACTCTCTCTTTACAAGTATATTATAAAAAACATGCACAACATGTACAGATATGAATCCCTGCAACTGTTATAAAATATATTTTTCTAAATGAAAGGAAATAAACATTTTGATAATGTTCTGCATCATCTAGTTGATAAAGTGAAAGTTGCTGGTAAGGGAACAGCAAAATTTAGAAAACAATGCTAACTTACAATCACAAGAACGACCCCTTTATCATGACGCAAAATTGAGATTTGTTCATAAAATTAACGTTACAAAATTTTAGTTATACATTAACATGCAGCGTTTCATATTGTACAAAAATATATATTATATATATTCATGCTTAACTGCAAAGCTGACAAATAAACAGCCACAATACAGCAAAACATAACAGAAAAAATACAAGAAAATACAGCAACTTTCGTAAAAATTAACCAAGTTTGTTTACACTTTCACTTCACAAAAAACAACTAATTGATTGTGATTCGCAAATTGACATTTGCCACTCAGAAGTCAGCAAACTTTTAATTTCTAATAGATTATGTGCCTTTTTTCTTATTTGGCAATAAAACAGCAAAAACAAATGTTAGTTGTATAGAATGAGCATTAGGCTTTTATTTACATGTAGCAAACATTTAATACTTCAGACATTTCTACACATTTCCCTCAATGACCAGGGTATGGCATATCCACTTACAACAACATGCTCAGGCCCGTAGCCGGGGGAGGGGTATAAAAAAACCCTTTTGGTTGGAATAGGTCCCTTCTGGGTAAATTTTATCTAGATACATGAAGGTTTCATTGAATAAGGTCTACTTTTTCAGAAGAAGAATTTGCTGGCTACGGGCCTGTCGCACTACAGAGTTCTGAGTTGAAAGTTTTTAAGTCACTTATGTAATGCAGATAGAGATTTTGGATTTTCACTCATGAAGGAAAATTCAGAAATATTATTATTAAAATGAATATATAAAATAATTCCAAAATGGACTTAACGACCACAATTTTCTTACTAGTTTTGGATAGGGCATATCTTTGCAAAATTGCTGGAAAATTAGAAAAAAATTCCGTTGATTCCGTTTATTCATACATGTACCAGTGAATATATTAAACAATCTTCGCGTTCTTTAAATTTTTGTGCTGGCATTTGAACTGTTTAATACGTTAACTCTTCGTATGAGATCTATATTTCACAATATAAATTGTAAACAACTCAGTGAAATATAATAAATTCTATTTTACCACAAAAGACGGCAGTTATAACAATTACTCTGAAATCTGTGCTAGTCATCGAATCACGTAACCTTCATAGATGGCTATATTCTGCAATAATCTCTTAGAGTTTATTACAAAAAAAAAAAAACTTTTTAGAAAAAAAAACAGGTACTAACTTTGAATTTAGAAATGGATTCATTAACCACTGGGAAGTATGGGGAAATTGCCATTTGCCCCAGGAAAATTCATTTTTGGCCAAAATGAACGGTTGTTATCCTTCTAACTTTCGTCTCTGTCTTAACAATCAATACAGTGACAAATAGGTCACAAGAACTAGGGTTTTTCAAGGGCCACTCTACAGTATTTCCCCCTTCTTGACTATTTCTCAAGAACAAATATCTACTCTCATTTTTCTACAAATGAAGTTTTATATAGTTATCAAAAAGGCAAAAGTGATATTTTGCAATTTCTATGGACATGCATAAATGAAATTGTGGAGGAAGCGAAATGTTACATGGGGAAAATATTGGGGAATGGCCAACTCCACTTTTAAGCATACGCGTGTTAAAATGCTCTTCCAAAATGAGTCACAAATAAGTTACAATAAAATGGCAAATCTAATTTCATAAAACAGTTCTCTGAATCGGCTGAAATTTCAATATTTGTATACTTAGTTTCTTGACCGCTTCGTATCCGCTTCATGGTCACTCAGAACTGAAGAAGTGACATCTCTTTCTACCTGGTCGGGACTATTAGATTTACAGGGGAGGAGGCAGGACGAAGAGTGGACTTTTTCTATTCAAACTCATCAATTTTTGACGGGTGAAGAAAACCATTTATTTAAGTGAAATAAAAAATACACAGGACACATTAGTCTTTAAAAATATCTTGAAATATAGCAGAAGAACAAAATCGCAGACCCTAAACTTCCCCCAAAATGTCACGCCATCATGTACTGTACATGTAGGTCACTGGCATGCTCCACTGAGCAGTTTTTGACATGTTTGACCAGCAGACTGTATTATAAAATATTAAATGATATGCTTATTATAAGTGTAAAATCCATTTTAAGAAATGCTCTGCATACTTTACATAAAAATGTGAGACGTACGTAAGAACGCAATTCACAAGATATCTAAAAATCCAAAATTATAGCGCCATCTGGAGGAAAACATCCTTCGCTGACGTCACCCTGAGCTTCAGAGATAGGCTAACTTGAAACTTACCTCTACACCATATCACAGCCTTGCCGTACCCTCTACCAGGGTGGCAAATGTTTTAGGCAGCTTTTCCACATTTTCAGGGAACCAAATGACCGTCTATTTATCTCAAGGCATATCTGTGAATATTTTGTGAAAAATCCATTTGTGGCCCTTGTCATTTTA